GGGAGGGAGGGGGGGACATGTGCACATACCTGGTGGGCGAACGACTGGATGGATGACGTGTCCCGATTATCTTTTTTTTTTTTTTTTTAATCCCTGAAATTACACTTCAGGGTAGTAGTAGGGTTTTGGGTACCAACCCCCCCSCCCCCAGACGCAGGATGTCGAGCCAGCGACCGGTCAGTTATCGCATCCTCATCACTGCTTCGATGAATTGCCCCCTTGCGATCGCACGCAGAGTGAAAAAATGATACCAACGGGCTGGCGAGGCCCTGTGTTCTGGTCGCCGATCGCCCCAGACGCAGGATGTCGAGTCAGCGACCGGTCGCCTTGCGATAGTGGTCTAGCCAGGCCCTCAGTTCTGGTCGCGACCGGTCGCCTTTCGATCGTGGTCTGGCCAGGCCCTCAGTTCTGGTCGCGACCGGTCGCCTTTCGATAGTGGTCTGGCCAGGCCCTCAGTTCTGGTCGCCTATCCCCACAGATTCAGGATGTCGAGCCAGCGACCGGTCGCCTTTCTACACTGGTGTGGCGAGGCCCTTACTTCTGGTTCCGAGTACGGACGGCTCCCTGCCATCTGATCTGATATAAAAATCTAACATCCAGAGAATGACCACGTTGGGAGATACGTGGTCGCAGAGAGGACAGAAATAAGGCTATTGGCTATTGGGGGTAATAAACGTCTGAAATCGCGTTTTTGGAAGGGGGTGCTGAAAGCCTGGCGAAAATGGAAACCTCCTGCTCGTCCTTCGGGACATCCGTGAAAATTGTTTGTTTGTTTGTTTGTTTGTTTGTTTGTTTGTTTGTTTGTTTGTTTTTCTTCTTCTCTCAACTTCAGTTTTTGCCTTTTGTTTGTTTTTGTTTGTTTTTTTGGGGGGGAATGTGAAAATTGGAAGGGAAAATTTGTCTGCCGCCCCTGTAATTTGCGTTATTTCGCGCCGCCCCCCTCCTACGGCCGATTTACCCTGTCGCGCCCCTCTGAGCAGGGTTCAAATTTTCCATAAGACCCCGGTGTCGTTTGGGCCTCAAAATCTTTTCCTTACGCCCCTACCGGTACCGGTCCCTAATTTGCGGGACGCCCCTACCGGATGGCCGTTAAAAGCCAGCGGGAAAATTTTTGAGATGCCCCTACCCGTACCATTTGCTGCCAAGCCATTTGCTGCTACCTCATCTGCTGCTACGTCATCTGCTGCTACGTCATCTGCTGCTACGTCATCTGCTGCCACGTCCTCTTGAAAATTTGTCTGCCGCCCCTGTAATTTGCATTATTCCGCGTCGCGCCCCTCCGACGGCCGATTTACCCTGTTGCGCCCCTCTGAGCAGGGTTCAAATTTTCCATAAGACCCCGGTGTCGTTTGGGCCTCAAATCTTTTCCTTATGCCCCTACCGGTACCGGGCCCTGATTTGCGGGATGCCCCTACCGGATGGCCATTAAAAGCCAACGGGGAAATTTTTGAGATGCCCCTACCGGTACCATTTGCTGCCAAGCCATTTGCTGGTACGTCATCTGCTGCCACGTCACCTTCTGCTACGTCATCAGCTGCCAGTCCATTTGCTACCAAGCCATTTGCTACTACGTCATTTGCTGCTACATCATCTGCTGTCACATCATCTTATGCCACGTCATCTGGTGCCAATCCATTCGCTACCGAGCGATTTGCTACCAAGCCATTTGCTGCTACGTCATCATCTGCTGCCTCATCAGCTGCTGTCACGGCATTTGCTGCCAAGAGGGCGTCTGCTGCCTAGTCCACAACTGCCACGTCTTCTACTGCTTTCCCAGATGCAGGGGTGGCTCCCTCTTCTGACAAACGAAAGGATGTTAGTGGTGGACAGTCTGAGTCAACGACGACGGCAACGGAAAGAAGAAGTCTGGGACGAAAATCAGGGGGCGGGCGTTGGCTCTTGCGAGTCCGTATCTCGTCTCATCCGAAGGTTACGATCGATGGAAGTAGATGATGAAGGAGGAGAGGGGTGTTGTGATGGCGCTGCGCGCCTATGGCTGATTGGTGGACTGTACAACGTTCCAGCTCTCTCTCTCTCTCTCTCTCTCTCTCTCTCTCTCTCTCTCTCTCT